TTCACCTCAAAAACCCCAATTGCACCTCAAACCCCCAAATTCACCTCAAAAAACCCCAAATTCACCTCAAAACACCCCAAATTCACCCCATAAACCCCCCAAATTCACCTCATAAACGCCCAAATTCACCCCATAAAACCCCAAATTCACCTCATAAACCCAAATTCACCTCAAAATACCCCAAATTCACCAAAAAAAACCAAAATTCACCCAATAAACCCCCAAATTCACCTCAAAAAACCCGAAATTCACCTCATAAACCCCCAAACTCACCTCAAAACCCTCGAATTCACCTCATAAACCCCCATATTCACCTCAGAATCACCCCAGATCACCTCAGAAACCCCAAAATTCACCTCAAAACCCCCCAAATTCACCTCAAAGAACCCATATTCACCTCAAAGAACCCATATTCACCTCAAAAACCCCCAAATTCACCTCAAAAAACCCCAAATTCACCTCAGAATCACCCCAAATCACCTCAGACACCCCCAAATCCACCTCCACGAGGTCCAACACCCCCGTTTCCCTCAGCCCACCCCCATTTACCTCAGGTTTCCCCCCCATACCCCCCAAACAGACCCAGACCCCCCCATTTTTTTACCTCAGATCACCCCAAAAGGCCCCAAACCCCCTTCCATTACCTCAGCACTGGCCCCCCCACACCCCCATAAGCGACCGAGCCCCACATTGACCCCCACAATGCACTCCAATGGAGCCGACCCCCCCCATTCACCTCACCGCTGTGTGTGTCTGTCCGTGTTCCCCCCCCCCCCCCAAGGCCTCGGCCCCTCCCCCCCTCTTCTTTTCCCCCATATCCCCGTTACCTGCGGCGGGGCCCGGTTCTGAGGCGGGGGGGGGGGGCGTTGGAAGGGGAAGGGAAGCGGCGGGTCCCGGCCCCAGCCCCGGTCCCGGCCCCGCGGTCGGTGTCGGCTCCGCTGAGCTCCGGCCTCGCTCAAACAAAGGACCCAGCGCCGCGCGCCCCGCCCGCCCCACGCCCCGCCCACCGCCCGTCTGGGCACGCCCCCACGACCACGCCTCCTTATATACCACCGATGAAGCCACGCCCACCGCCCCGCTTGGCCACGCCTCCAAGCGACGCCCACCGCGCCGTGGGCACGCCCCCCCGAACACCCCCGCCCCCCCCCACCTCCCGGCCGCGCGCACGCCATGTGAGGAGGGAAGAGGGCGCCCCCTGGTGGTTGGGGGAGTGGAGGGGGTGGGATGGGGATGGGATGGGGATGGGATGGGATGGGGATGGGATGGGGATGGGGATGGGATGGGGATGGGATGGGGATGGGATTGGGATGGGATGGGAATGGGATGGGGATGGGATGGGGATGGGGATGGGGATGGGGATGGGGTGGGGATGGGATGGGGATGGGATGGGGATGGGATGGGGATGGGGATGGGATGGGGATGGGATGGGATGGGGATGGGATGGGATGGGATTGGGAATGGGATGGGATTGGGATTGGGAATGGGATGGGGATGGGGATGGGGATGGGATGGGATTGGGAATGGGATTGGGAATAGGATGAGATTTGGAATGGGATGGGGATGGGATTGGGAATGGGGACGGAAATGGAGACAGGGACGGCATTGGGATTGGAAATGGGATTGGGATGGGATAGGGTGGATTCTATGCGGTGGGATGGGATTGGGACTGGGAATTGGGAATGATCTGGGGAATGGGACTGAGAATGAGAGTGAATTGGGAATGGGATGGGGAATGGGAAACTGGAGATGGGATTGGGACTGGGACTGGGAATTGGGAATGAGATGGGAAATGGGACTGAGAATGAGATTGAATTGGGAATGGGATGGGGAATGGGAAATTGGGGATGGAACTGGGGATGGGATGGGGATAGGAGGTGGAGAATGGGAAATGGGAATGGGATTGGGATTGGGTTGGAAATGGGCAGCTGGAGTGGGGATGGGCATAGGGTTGGGGTGGGATTGGGAATAGGGTGGAGAATGGGACCAGTATAGAGTAATACTGGGTGACACTGGGACCGGTATAGGTTGACACTGGGTGACACTACCACCACTACCGGTATAGGGTGACACTAAGACTGGGAGGCACTAGGACCAGCATGGGACAGCGCTGGTCCCAGTACAGGGTGGCAATGGGTGACACTGGTCCCAGTACAGGCTGTCATTGGGTGACACTGGGTGACACTGGTCCCAGTACAGCCTGACACTGGGACCAGCCGCTCCAATCCCGCCCCTCCACTCCAGCCAATAACAGCCGCCGCAGCCGGGCTCCAGCCAATGAGAACGCAGCAGGGGGGGAGGAGGGAGGGGGGAAGAGGAGAGGGAGGAGGGGGCGTGGCCATATTAAACCCCGCCCCCCCCGGCGGCAGCGCGCGGGACTGCACGTGCGCCCGGAAGCCCCGCCCCCAAATCCCCCTCCCCCGCCGGAAGCCCCGCCCCCTGCGCGTGCCGCGTCCTCCTCTCCCCCCTCCCCAACGCCCCTCCCAGCAACAACCGCGGAGCCGCGCTCCGATTGGCTGCTGAGCTGTGACGTCACGGCAGGGCGCGCCCGTCTGTTACCATGGCAACAAGGGGGGGAGTGGGGGGGGGTTTGAGGCCTTAAAAAGGCGAATTTGGACCCAAAAAGGAAGGGAATGGACCCAAGAATGAAGGTTTTGGCCCCAAATGAAGGGTTAGACCGCGAAAAGGAGGAATCTCACTTGGAAATGAGGGATTTGGGCCCAAAAATGAGGGATTTGGTCCCTAAAATGAGGGATTTTGATCAAAAAATGAGAGATTTGGTTCTAAAAATTGGGCTTTGGAGCCTTAAAAATGAGGTTTTCCCGCAAAGAAAAGAGAGCTTGAACCCCAAAGTGAGGTTTTTGTCCTCAAAATGAGGGGTTAGACCCAAGAAGTGAAGGTTTAGACCTCAAAAATGAGGGCTTTAGACCCAAAAAGGAGGCATTTTAACTCCCAAATGAGGAATTTGGGGTTTAAGCCCTAAAAATGCAGGGGTTTAGCCTAAAAAAGGTGAGGTAAGACCTTAAAATGGGGGTTTTGGACCTAAAACCTTGCTCTAGACCCTCACAATATGGGTTTTGAGGCAATAAGTGGAGGTTTAGACCCTAAAATGAGGGGGTTTGGGCTCTAAAATGAGGGATTTGGACCCCAAAATGGGGGTTTAGATCCAAAAAAGAGGGTTTAGAGCCCCAAAATGTGGGGGGTTGAACTAAAAATGGGGAATGGACCCCAAAAATAAGGTTTGGGGCAATAAAACTGAGGGTTGGAATGGCAAAAAGCACATTTTTCCACCTTAAAACAGGGTTTAGAGCCCCAAAATAAGGGTTTGAACCCTGAAAATTAGGGTTTGGACCCAAAAGTGAGGGTTTGGAGCCTAAACCCGCATCTTTTTACCCCAAAATGAGAGTTGAGATCTTAAAAATTAGGTATTGGGGCCAAAATCGAGGCTTTGGGCCCTAAAAATGGGGGGGTTGGAGCACAAAAATGGGGGTTTGGACCCCCAAAAGGCAGGTTTTGGCCTCAGAACGGACATGGGACCTATGGGATGACATAGGGTGACACGTGTGATCCATTACATGCATGACGTAGCGTGACACATGACACCTGTGACACGTGTGACACACGTGACATGTACCATGGGGCACACGTAACACACGTGCGGGCCCTCCCGCCGCCAGGGGGCGGAGACTGAGGGGGTGGGAGGGGCTTAGAGCGATGGGCGGGGCTTAGAGGGGGCGTGGCCCACGTGAGACCGCCCCATCGCCTTTTATGGCCCCCACGTGGTGACGTCACACACCTCCCCCCATGTTGCCATGGTGATGGGGAAGCGGTGGGAAACAGCCCCGCCTCCCCCCGGGGTGGGGGGGGCTCTTAAAGGGCAATGAACCCCCTTAGATGGGCTGTATATGGGGTGTATAGGGTGTATATGGGGGTCTGTGGCGTGTATAAGGGGTGTATGGGGAGTGTATGGGGTGTATGGGGTGTGTATGGGGTGCATAAGGGGTGTATATGGGGTGTATGGGGTGTATATGGGGTGCATATGGGGTGCATGTGGTGGTCTGCAGGGTGTATATGGGGTGTATGGGGTGTATATGGGGTGCATATGGGGTGCATGTGGTGGTCTGCAGGGTGTATATGGGGTGTATGGGGTGTGTATGGGGTGTATGTGGGGTGTATATGGGGTGTATGGGGTGTATATGGGATGTATGTGGGGTGTATATGGGGTGTATGGGGTGTATATGGGATGTATGGGGTGTATGTGTGGGTCTGCAGGGTGTATATGGGGTGTATATGGGGTGTATGGGGTGTGTATGGGGTGTATGTGGGGTGTATATGGGGTGTATGGGGTGTATATGGGATGTATGTGGGGTGTATATGGGATGTATGGGGCGTATGTGGGGGTCTGCAGGGTGTATATGGGGTGTATGGGGTGTATGGGGTGTACATGGGATATATGGAGTGTATATGGTGTGTATGTGGGACATACGTGGGGTGTATATGGGGTATATATGGAGTGTATATGGGGTGTATATGTGGTCTATGTGGGGTGTATATAGGATGTATGGGGAGTATATGGTGTGTATGTGGGATGTATGTGGGGTGTATATGGGGTGTATGGTGTGTATATGGGGTGTATCGGTGTGTATGGGGTATATATGGGGTGTATATGGGCTGTATGTGTGGTGCATACTGGGTGTATATGGGGGTATACTGGGTGTATATGTGGGGTATGTGGGGTACAGCCCTGCCCCACACCGCAGGCACAACCAATGACAAGCGGCGACACTCACAATGTCTTTAATACAAAGGGGGGGGGGGGACACCCCCAAAAGCCCCCAACCCCACCCCAAACCCCATCAGTACCCAACAGGGCCCTAACAACACCCCCCAACACCAGCCCTGACCCCCAAACCCCCACCCTGACCCTGTGACACCCCACATTCATCCCCATGACACCCCCCCCAATCACAACCCGCCCCACCGCAACACCCCACATCCTCCATCAGACCCATACGTGAGACCCCAAAACTCACCTGGACCCACACCCCCCCTAAAAACAACCCCCAAACCTACCCCAGACACAACCCATCAGCCCTGGGGGGGTCCCTGTGGGGCTGTAGGTGACGGTGACACAGGCGGTGTCCCCATAGGGCTGACATTCAGTGTCCATGGGGGGGCTCACACGCAGTGGATGTGGGGTGCTCAGTGCTGGCATCACAGTCGGTGTCCCCAAGGGGGTGACAGTCACCAGACACTGCCCTGGTGTCCTCAGTGGGGTGACAATGGGTGTCCCCCATAGGGCGACAATCGGTGCCACAGTCGGTGTGCCCCATAGGGTGACAATGGGTATCCTCGATAGGGTGACAATGGGTGTCCTCAATAGGGTGACAATCGGCATCACAGTCAGTGTCCTCAATAGGGTGACAATGGGTATCCTCAATAGGGTGACAATCGGCATCACAGTCGGTGCCCCCCATAGGGTGACAATGGGTATCCTCAATAGGGTGACAATGGGTGTCCCCCATAGGGTGACAACTGGCATCACAGTCGGTGCCCCCCATAGGGTGACAATGGGTATCCTCCATAAGGTGACAATCGGCTTCACAGTCGGTGCCCCCCATAGGGTGACAATGGGTGTCCTCAATAGGGTGACAATCAGCGTCACAGTCGGTGCCCCCCATAGGGTGACAATGGGTGTCCTCAATAGGGTGACAATCGGCATCACAGTCGGTGCCCCCCATAGGGTGACAATGGGTGTCCTCAATAGGGTGACAATCGGCATCACAGTTGGTGCCCCCCATAGGGTGACAATGGGTATCCTCCATAGGGTGACAATCAGCTTCACAGTCGGTGCCCCCCATAGGGTGACAATGAGTATCCTCAATAGGGTGACAAACAGCGTCACAGTCGGTGCCCCCCATAGGGTGACAACGGGTGTCCCCCATAGGGTGACAATCGGCATCACAGTCGGTGCCCCCCATAGGGTGACAATGGGTGTCCCCCATAGGGTGACAATCGGCATCACAGTCCGTGTCTCCCATAGGGTGACAATGAGTATCCTCAATAGGGTGACAATCAGCCTCACAGTCGGTGTCCCCCATAGGTTGACAATCAGCGTCACAGTCGGTGTTCCCCATAGGGTGACAATTGGTGTCACAGTTGGTGCCCCCCATAGGGCGACAATCGGTGTCACAGTTGGTGTCCCCCATAGGGCGACAATTGGTGTCACAGTCGGTGTGCCCCATAGGGTGACAATGGGTATCCTCCATAGGGTGACAATGGGTGTCCTCCATAGGGTGACAATTGGCATCACAGTCAGTGTCTCCAAGGGTCAATGGGGAGATCTATGGGGTGGAACTATAGGGGCAGGACACACATAGGGGTCAATGGGGAGATCTATGCAGGGGACCTATAGGGGCGGGACACACATAGGAGTCAACGGGGAGATCTATGGGGGGGACCTATAGGGGCGGGACACATATGGGGTAAATGGGGAGATCTATGGGGCAGACCTATAGGGGCGGAACACACATAGGAGTCAATGGGGAGATCTATGGGGGAGACCTATAGGGGCAGGACACACATAGGGGTCAATGGGGAGATCTATGGGGCGGACCTATAGGGGCGGGACACACATAGGGGTCAATGGGGAGATCTATGGGGGGGACCTATAGGGGCGGGACACACATAGGGGTCAATGGGGAGATCTATGGGGGGGACCTATAGGGGCAAGACACACATAGGGGCCAATGGGGAGATCTATGGGGGGGACCTATAGGGGCGGGACACACATAGGGGTCAATGGGGAGATCTATGGGGCAGACCTATAGGGGCTATGTAGCCCTATAGTGGCTATGGGAGCTATAAAGCCCTATGGGGGGCACCCCATTGTGGGGGTCACATACGGGTCAAGGTCAAAGGTCACGCGCTGGTTGGTGGTCACGTGACGCTCCATGGCCAGCAGGGGGCACTCCGGCAGCCGCAGGTCCCAGCACAGGATGTGGGTGTCCTGGGGGCGGGGCTGCGCTGAGGCCACGCCCCCATTGGCCACACCCCGCCCCCCCATTGATGGGCATGGCCCAATCACGAGGCTTCAACCCCTGGACACACCCCAATATGGAAGCCACGCCCATAAAGAGGCTCCGCCCACTCATTTGAGCCACTCCCTCTCAAGCCACGCCCACCATGCACCCCATTGGAAAGCCCTGTAGACCCCTCCCCATTAGACACAACCCCTTAAGCCCCTCCCACCAAACAAACCCCACCCCATAAGCACCTCCCATCCTCAAAACCCTCCTAAAGCCCCTCCCACACCTAAACCACGCCCCTTTTCGCCCCTCCCACCTAAGCCACGCCCCTCTAAACGCCTCCACCAATCAAGCCGTGCCCCTTTAAACCCCTCCTAACCTTAGCCCCACCTCTTCAGGCCCTCCACCAATCAAACCCCTTCCCACCCTCAAGCCACGCCCCCTTAATTCCCTCCCACATAAGCCACGCCCCCTCAGCCCATCCCCATCAATCCCTCCCCCCAACCACAGCCCCTTTAAGCCCCTCCCACCTTCAATCCCCTCCACCAATCAATGCCCGCCCCTCTCAGCCCCTCCACCAATCAGAGCCCTCCCCTCCAAGCCCCGCCCACCTTGCGCCCCCCCGCATACAGCCGGTTCCCATCCGGGCTGAAGCGCAGGTGGGTGGGGGCCGCGGGGAGGCGGGGCCAGAGCGCCAAGGCCCCGCCCCCTTCCAGCGCGTACAGCCCCAGGCTCCGCCCATAGGAGCCGCAGGCGAACACCGGTTGGCTGGGGCTCACCGCCAGGCAGCCAATGAGGCCGCGCTGGCCCTGACCGCCCTCTGTGATTGGGCGGGGGGAGAGCACAGGACACGCCCACTTAAAGCCATGTCTCCTCCCCTTTTGAGCCCTCCTACTTAAGGCCCCGCCCACTATAGACAGTCCCTCTTTAAGCCCCGCCCCTTTTGATCCCCCATTAAGTCCCACCCCTTTAAAACCTCTGCCCCTTTAAGCTCCTCCCCTTTAAGCTCCACCCCTTCAGATACCACCCACTTTAAGCTACACCCCTTAATCCCGCCCCTTTAAGCTCCACTTCCTTAAACCCCACCCCCTTTAAGCTCCACCCCTTTAAACCCCATCCTTTTAAGCTCCACCCCCTTTATACCCCATCCCTTTGAGATCCGCCCCTTTAAACCCCATCCCTTTAAGCTCCACCCCCTTTAAACCCCATCCCTTTAAGCTCCCCCCCTCGAAGCCCCACCCCTTTAAACCCCACCCCCTTTAAACCCCATCCCTTTAAGCCCCACCCCCTTTAAACCCCATCCCTTTAAGCTCCACCCCTTTAAACCCCATCCCTTTAAGCTCCACCCCTTTAAACCCCATCCTTTTAAGCCCCACCCCCTTTAAACCCCATCCCTTTAAGCTCCACCCCTTTAAACCCCATCCCTTTAAGCTCCACCCCTTTCAAACCCCTCCCATAAGCCCACCCCTAAACCCCATCCCTTTAAGCTCCACCCCTTTAAACCCCATCCCTTTAAGCTCCACCCCTTTAAACCCCATCCCTTTAAGCCCCACCCCCTTTAAACCCCACCCTTTAAGCTCCACCCCTTTAAACCCCATCCCTTTAAGCCCCACCCCTTTAAACCCCATCCCTTTAAGCTCCACCCCTTTAAACCCCATCCCTTTAAGCTCCACCCCTTTAAACCCCATCCTTCAAGCTCCACCCCTTTAACTCCACCCCCTTTAAACCCCATCCCAGCCCCCCTTTAAGCTCCACCCCTTTAAACCCCATCCCTTTAAGCTCCACCCCTTTAAACCCCATCCCTTAAGCTCCACCCCCTAAGCCCCACCCCTTTAAACCCCATCCCTTTAAGCTCCACCCCTTTAAACCCCATCCCTTTAAGCCCCACCCCCTTTAAACCCCATCCCTTTAGCTCCACCCCCTTTAAACCCCATCCCTTTACACCCAAACCACTTTAAGCTCCACCCCCTTTAAACCCCATCCCTTTAAGCTCCACCCCCTTAAACCACCCAACCCACCCCAAACCCCACCCACCACCCAACCCATCCCTTCAAGCTCCACCCCCTTTAAACCCCATCCCTTTAAGCTCCACCCCCTTCAAACCCCATCCCTTTAAGCTCCACCCCCTTTAAACCCCATCCCTTTAAGCTCCACCCCTTTAAACCCCATCCCTTTAAGCTCCACCCCTTTAAACCCCATCCCTTTAAGCTCCACCCCCTTTAAACCCCATCCCTTTAAGCTCCACCCCCTTTAAACCCCATCCCTTTAAGCTCCACCCCTTTAAACCCCATCCCTTTAAGCTCCACCCCTTTAAACCCCATCCCTTTAAGCTCCGCCCCCTCGAAGCCCCACCCCTTTAAACCCCACCCCCTTTAAACCCCATCCCTTTAAGCCCCACCCCCTTTAAACCCCATCCCTTTAAGCTCCACCCCCTTTAAACCCCATCCCTTTAAGCTCCACCCCCTTTAAACCCCATCCCTTTAAGCTCCACCCCTTTAAACCCCATCCCTTTAGCTCCACCCCCTTTAAACCCCATCCCTTTAAGCTCCACCCCCTTGAAACCCCACCCTTTAACTCCACCCCCTTTAAACCCCATCCCTTTAAGCTCCACCCCCTTTAAACCCCATCCCTTTAAGCCCCACCCCTCCCATCCCTTTAACCCCCAACCCTTTAAACCCCACCCCCTTCCACCCTTAAGCTCCACCCCTTTAAACCCCATCCTTTAAGCCCAACTCCACCCCTTTAAACCCCATCCCTTTAAGCTCCACCCCCTTTAAACCCCATCCCTTTAAGCTCCACCCCCTTTAAACCCCATCCCTTTAAGCTCCACCCCCCTTTAAACCCCATCCCTTTAAGCTCCACCCCCTTTAAACCCCATCCCTTTAAGCTCCACCCCCATTAAACCCCATCCCTTTAAGCTCCACCCCCTTTAAACCCCATCCCTTTAAGCTCCACCCCTTTAAACCCCTTCCTTTTAAGCTCCACCCCTTTAAGCTCCACCCCTTAAAGCCCCACCCCCTCAAGCCCCGCCCCCGTAAGCCCCGCCCCTCACGCCGCAGCGCCCTCTCCTGGTGGCTCCGCCCCGGCCGCTCCGTTGGGAAGATCCGGACGGAGCCGTCGCAGCCCCCGAGGAGCCGGGAGCCGTCGGGGGTGAAGGTCAGGGAGTGCGGGGCCACCGGCTCCTCCTGCCCCATAGAGACACACACGGACCCATAGAGAGACATAGGGAACCATAGAGACACATAGGGAACCATAGAGACACACAGGGACCCATAGAGACACACAGGGACCCATAGAGACACACAGGGACCCATAGAGACACACAGGGACCCATAGAGACACACAGAGACACACAGAGACACATAGAGACCCCATAGAGACACATAGGGACCCATAGGGAACATAGGGACCCAGAGGGACCCATAGAGAGCCATAGACACCATAGCCAACACAGGGACCCAGGGGGACCCATAGCGACCAATAGAGAGCCATAGGGAACACAGGGACCCATAGAGACCCATAGGGAACATAGGGAACATAGGGACCCATAGAGAGCAATAGGGAACATAGGGACCCATAGGGAACACAGGGACCCATAAAGGAACATAGGGACCCATAGAGAGCCATAGGGAACACAGGGACCCAGAGGGACCCATAGAAAACACAGGGACCCATAGAGAGCCATAAGGAACATAGGGACCCATAGAGAGCAATAGGGACCCATAGAGAGCCATAGAAAACACAGGGACCCAGAGGGACCCATAGCAAACACAGGGACCCATAGAGAGCAATAGGGACCCATAGAGAGCCATATGGAATCATAGGGAACATAGGGAACCATAGGGACTCCATAGACACTCATTGAGACTCCATAGAGACCCCATAGAGAACCCATAGAGACCCCATGGGGAACATAGAGACTCCATAGGGACCATAGGGAACATAGAGACACATAGAGATCCCATAGACACCCCATAGAGACCTGCAGAGATCCTATAGACACCCCATAGAGACCCATAGGGACCCATAGAAATCGACAAAGCCTCACAGTGACCCATAGACATGGGTGGTGGAGCTCTGGGGGGTCTCTATGGGGTCTCTATGGGGCACTTGGGGGACTCTGTGGGTTTCTATGGGGTCACTATGGGTCTCCATGGGGTCACTATGGGTCTCCATGGGGTCGCTATGGGTCTCCTTGGGATCGCTATGGGGCTCTATGGGGTTGCTATGGGGCTCTATGGGGTTGCTATGGGGCTCTATGGGTCGCTATGGGGCTCTATGGGGTCGCTATGGGGCTCTATGGGTCGCTATGGGGCTCACCAGGTGGTTGTAGGCGCGGAAGGAGCCCCTCAGGGTCCCATCGAAGGCGTCCCAGAGGTGGACGGGGTTGTCCCGGCTGCTGGAGGCCACCCTGCCCAGTACAGACCAGTATGGACCAGTATGGACCAGTACAGAACAGTACTGACCAGTACGGACCAGTATGGACCAATACAGACCAGTACAGAACAGTACTGACCAGTATGGACCATTACGGACCAATACAGACCAGTATGGACCAGTATGGAGCAGTACAGAACAGTACTGACCAGTACGGACCAGTATAGCCCAGTACAGACCAGTATGGACCAGTATGGACCCCCATTGCCCCCATAGCCCCCCATTACCCCCAAAGCAGCCATAGCACCCCCCATAGCCCCTCATTACCCCCATTGCCCCATTGTCCCCATTACCCCCGTGCCCCTATTGCCCCATAGCCCCCATTACCCCCATTGCCCCCATTACCCCCATTACCCCCATTACCCCCATTGCCCCCATAGGCCCATAAGCCCCCATTACCCCCATTGCCCCATAGCCCCCATTGCCCCCATTACCCCCATTACCCCATCACCCCCATAGCCCCCATTGCCCCATAGCTCCCATTACCCCATAGCCCCCATTGCCCCCATTGCCCCCATAGCCCCCATTACCCCATAGCCCCCCATATCCCCCATTACCCCATAGCCCCCATTACCCCATAGCCCCCCATACCCCCATCACCCACAGGCAGGTCTGGGGCTCCCTGGAGTCCATGAGTGGGAACCAGGCATAGTCATAGATGGTGTCACCCTCGGGCACCCGCAGCGCCGGCTCCTGCACCCACCCATAGAGACCCATAGAGACCCATAGGGACCCATAGAGACCCATAGGGACCCATAGAGACCCATAGGGACCCATAGGGACCCATAGAGCCCATAGGGACCCATAGAGACCCATAGGGACCCATACGGACCCCATAGAGACCATAGGGACCCATAGACACCATAGGGACCCATAGAGACCATAGGGACCCCAATACACACCATAGGCACCCAATAAACCCCGTAGGGATCCCACACACCCCATAGGGACCAATAGACACCATAGGGACCCCAATAAACCCCATAGGGGCCCAATACATCCCATAGGGACACAACAGACCCCATAGGGAACCCATACACCCCATAGACCCCATAGGGACCCCATAGGGACCCCATACACCCCATAGAGACCCCAATACCCCCTATAGAAACCCTAATACACCCCATAGGCATCCAATAGACCCCATAGGGACACCATAGAGACCCCACAGAGGCCCCATAGGGACCTCATAGGAGCCCCCTAGAGACCCCATAGAGACCCCCTAGAGACCCCATAGGGACCTCATAGGAGCCCCATAGAGACCCCATACACCCCATAGAGACCCCAGTACACCCCATAGGGACCCCATAGGAGCCCCATAGGGACCCTATAGAGACCACATAGACCCCATAGAGACCCCATAGACCCCATAGAGACCCCATAGGGACCCCATAGACCCCATAGAGACCCCATAGACCCCATAGGGACCCCATAGAGACCCCATAGACCCCATAGAGACCCTAATACACCCCATAGGGACACCACAGACCCCATAGAGACCCATAGAGCCCATAGAGACCCTATAGAGACCCCATAGACACCCCATAGAGACCCCATAGAGACCCATAGAGACCCCCTAGAGACCCCATAGAGACCCCATACACCCCATAGAGACCCCAATACACCCTATAGAGACCCCAACACACCCCATAGGCATCCCATAAACCCCATCGGGACCCCATAGAGACCCCATAGAGACCCGATAGGGACCCCAATACACCCCATAGAGACCCCATAGAGCCCCCATAGAGCCCCCTTACCCACCAGCTGGGGGAGGGGCTGCCCGGCGGGGGGGGGCGGGAGGTCGAACAGGCGCAGGGTGTTGTCAGCGCTGCAGCTCAGCACACAGGAGCCATCGGGGGCCCTGCCGGCACCCATAGGGACCATAGGGACCCATAGGGACCCATAGGCACCCATAGAGACACATAGGGACCATAGGGACACATAGGGACCCATAGAGACCCATAGGGACCATAGGGACCATAGGGACCCATAGAGACCCATAGAGACACATAGGGACCCATAGGGACCCATAGAGACACATAGAGACCATAGGGACCATAGGGACCCATAGAGACACATAGGGACCCATAGGAACCCATAGAGACACATAGAGACACATAGAGACCATAGGGACCCATAGGGACCCATAGAGACCCATAGAGACCATAGGGACCCATAGAGCCCATAGGGACCCATAGCAACCCATAGAGCCCATAAGGACCCATAGAGCCCATAGGGACCCATAGCGACCCATACAGCCCATAGTGACCCATAGGGACCCATAGTGACCCACAGGGACCCATAGAGCCCATAGCAACCCATAGAGCCCATAGGGACCCATAGCGACCCATAGAGCCCATAGCCAGCCATCTGTGGGTGGGGGAGGGGTCGGGGGGGGAGGGGGTGTGGTCAATAGAGGTGGGGGAGGGGTCAGAGGAGGGTGGGGGAGGGGTGGTGTCAATCGGGGTGGGGGAGGGGATGGGGAGGGCTCTGGGTAGAGGAGGGGTCAATGGAGGTGGGTGAGGGGATGGGGGAGATGCAGGGTGGGGGAGGGGGTGGGGTCAATTGGGATGGGGGAGGGGTCTATGGAGGTGGGGGAGGGGGTGGGGGAGGGACTTGGGTGGGGAAGGGCTCAGGGTGGGGCTGGGGGGGAGGGGTTGGGAGAGGGCTGGGGAAGGGGCAGTGGGGGGGAGGGGCGGTGGGTGGGGGCGGGGCTGTGGATTGGGGAGGGGCTGTGGGGGGGAGGGGCTGGGGGGGCACGGTGGGTGGGGGAGGGGCGGTGGGTGGGGGAGGGGCTGTGCATGAGGGAGGGGCTGGATGGTAGTGGGTGGGGGAGGGGCAGGCGGGGGGGGAGGGGCGGTGGGGGGGAGTGGAGTGGTTGGGGGAGGGGCAGTGGGGGGGGCCGGGTCTCGCTCACCAGGTGCAGCCCCGCAGGAAGTTGTGGGGGCGGAGCCGGAACTCGTCCTGAGCCCCTCCCACGGGGCGGGGGGGGCGGCCCAGAGCGAGGGGGGGGAGCCTGGGGGGGAGGGGCAGAGGGGTCAGGGACCCACAGGAGACCCCTTAGAGAGCCATTGAGAACCCCATGTACACCCCATAGAGACCCATTGAGAACCCCATAGAGACCCATTGAGAACCCCATGTACACCCCATAGAGACCCATTGAGAACCCCATAGAGACCCATTGAGAACCCCATAGAGAGCCATTGAGAACCCCATGTACACCCAATAGAGACCCATTGAGAACCCCATAGAGACCCATGGAGAACCCCATAGAGAGCCATTGAGAACCCCATAGAGACCCCATAGAGACCCATTGAGAACCCCATAGAGACCCATGGAGAACCCCATAGAGAGCCATTGAGAACCCCATAGAGACCCCATAGAAAGCCCATTGAGAACCCCATATACACCCCATAGAGAGCCCCTATACCCCATAGAGAACCCATTGAGAACCCCATGTACACCCCATAGAGAGCCCATACACCCCCATAGAGACCCCTAGGGACCCCATACACTCCATAGGAAGCCCATATACACCCCATAGAGACCCCATATAGACCCCAAATACACCAAAGAGACCCCATACACCCCACAGGACCCCAATACACACCCGACAGAGACCCCAAATACCCCATAGAGACCCCATACACCCCATAAAGCACCCCATACACCTGCATAGAGACCCCAAATACCCCATAGAGACCCCATACACCCCATAGTGACCTCAATACACCCCATAGAAACCCTAAAGAGACCCCAAATACCCCTTATACACCCCATAGAGAGCCCATACACCCCATAGGACCCCCACAGACCCCCATGGGGATCACAAATACCCCATAGAAACCCCATATACCCCCATAAAGACCCCCAATACCCCCATAGAGACCCTATACACCCCCCACAAGCCCCATATACACCCCGTAGAGAGCCCATATACCCCTACAGAGACCCCATACACCCCACAAGACCCCAATAAACTCCATAGAGACCCCAAATAGCCCATAGAGACCCCATACACCCCATAAAACACCCCAATACTTCCATAGAGCTCCCATAGTGACCCCAATACACCCCATAGACCCCCCATAGAGACCCCAAATACCCCATAGAGACCCCATACACCCCATAGTGACCTCAATACACCCCATAGACCCCCCATAGAGACCCCAAATACCCCATAGAGACCCCATACACCCCATAGTGACCTCAGTACACCCCATAGAAACCCCATAGAGACCCTAAATACCCCATAGAGACCCCATACACCCCATAGTGACCCCAATACACCCCATAGACCCCCCATAGAGACCCCAAATACCCCATAGAGACCCCATACACCCCATAGTGACCTCAATACACCCCATAGACCCCCCATAGAGACCCCAGATACCCCATAGAGACCCCATACACCCCATAGTGACCTCAATAAACCCCATAGACCCCCCATAGAGACCCCAAATACCCCATAGAGACCCCATACACCCCATAGTGACCTCAATACACCCCATAGAGACCCCATAGTGACCTCAATACACCCCATAGACCCCCCCACAGAGACCCCATATATACCCCATAGAGACCCCATAGACCCCCATACGGACCCGAAGCCCCCTCCCCCGCTCACCCCATTGGCTCCTCCGCTGCGTCGTGAGTGGTCTCAGAAGGGGGCGGGGCTAAGGGGGGGCGGAGCGAGGTCAGCGCGGGGTCAGTGCCCCCCCTCCCCCCATGGCGCCCCCCGTCCCCCCCCACCCATACGCACCTCTCTCCATGGGCGCCGCCATGACAGCGTGGCCACGCCCCTTCCCGGCGTGCAGCGCGGGGGAGGGCGGAGAAGGGGGGGGGCCCACGGCGGGGAGGTGGCGCGAAAACGGCGCTTTCCCGCCATAGGGGGCAATGGGGGGGTTATGGGGCAATGGGGGTTACGGGGCAATGGGGGGGATGGGGGGTTGGCAATGGGGGGGTTATGGGGCAATGGGGGGTTATGGGGCAATGGGGGGATTATGGGGCAATGGGGGTTTATGGGGCAATGGGGGGTTATGGGGCAATGGGGGGGTTATGGGGCAATGGGGGGTTATGGGGCAATGGGGGGTTATGGGGCAATGGGGGGTTATGGGGCAATGGGGGGTTATGGGGCAATGGGGGTTTATGGGGCAATGGGGGGTTATGGGGCAATGGGGGTTTATGGGGCAATGGGGGTTATGGGGCCCCATAGAGTCCTGAACCCCCCCCCCCCCATAGCACCCACAGAGAGCTGAGAACCAATGAAGCCTTTATTCCATGTGGGGTGGGTGCCCCATAGCGGGGCACAGTGGCCCATGGGGGGTTTCAGGGCACCCCATAACAAGTCATGGTGCCCCATAGGGTGCCGTTGTGCCCCATGGGGGGGGTTCAGGGCACCCCATAGAGTGTCATTGTGCCCCATGGGGGGGGTTTAGGGCACCCTATAATAAGTCATGGTGCCCCATAGGATGCATTGTGCCCCATAGGATGCCACTGTGCTCCACAGAGTGCCAGTGCACCCCACAGGGTATTGCTGTACCCCATAGTGCGTTGTGCCCCATAGGGTGCCGCTGTGCTCCATAGGGTGCATTGTGTCCAATAGGGTATTGCTGTGCCCCATAGGGTGCCATGGTTCCCCACAGGGTGCATTGTGCCCCATAGGGTACATTGTGCCCCATAGGGTATCACTGCCCCATAGGGTGCCATAGCTCCCCATAGGGTATCACTGTGCCCCATAGGGTGCCATAGTTCCCCATAGGGTGCCATGGCTCCCCATAGTGTGCATTGTGTCCCATAGGGTATCACTGTGCCCCAGAGGGTGCCATGGCTCCCCATAGGGTATCACTGTGCCCCATAGGGTGCCATAGTTCCCCATAGGGTGCCATGGCTCCCCATAGGGTATCACTGTGCCCCATAGGGTGCCATAGTTCCCCATAGGCTATCACTGTGCCCCATAGGGTGCCATAGTTCCCCATAGGGTATCTCTGTGCCCCATAGGGTGCATTGTGCCCCATAGGGTATCACTGTGCCCCATAGGGAGCCACAGTTCCCCATAGGGTGCAGTGTGCCCCATAGGGTATCACTCTGCCCCATAGGGTGCATTGTGCCCCATAGGCTATCGCTGTGCCCCATAGGGCGCCATAGTTCCCCATAGGGTATCACTCTGCCCCATAGGGAGCCATAGTTCCCCATAGGGTATCACTGTGCCCCATAGGGCGCCATAGTTCCCCATAGGGCTCCGCGGCTCCCCCTGGGGCGCGCTGTCCTCCGCAGGGTACCGCCGGGCCAGCAGGGGGCGCTGTGAGCTCAGGCGGGGCGCGGCGCGAAGAAGGGCAGGCCCCGGATGAAGGCGTCGAGGCGGGCCCGGAAGAGCTCACTCTGCACCGGGGCGCGGGGGGGGCACAGCGGGTTCTTCACCACCAGCTCCACGAACAGCTGCGGGGGGAGACCAGAGAGACACAGAGGGACATAGAGAGACCATAGAGACACACAGAGACCCCATAGAGACATATAGGGACACATAGGGACATAGATACATAGGGACACATAGGGACCATAGAGAGACCATAGAGACACATAGAGAGACCATAGAGACACCATATAGAGACCATAGAGACACATAGGGACACATAGGGACACATAGGGACATAGAGAGATACATAGGGACACATAGGGACCATAGAGAGACCATAGAGACACATAGAGAGACCATAGAGACACCATATAGAGACCATAGAGACACATAGGGACACATAGGGACACATAGGGACATAGAGAGATACATAGGGACACATAGGGACCATAGAGAGACCATAGAGACACATAGAGAGACCATAGAGACACCATATAGAGACCATAGAGACACATAGGGACACATAGGGACACATAGGGACATAGAGAGATACATAGGGACACATAGGGACCATAGAGAGACCATAGAGACACATAGAGAGACCATAGAGACACCATATAGAGACCATAGAGACACATAGGGACACATAGGGACACATAGGGACATAGAGAGATACATAGGGACACATAGGGACCATAGAGAGACCATAGAGACACATAGAGAGACCATAGAGACACCATATAGAGACCATAGAGACACATAGGGACACATAGGGACACATAGGGACATAGAGAGATACATAGGGACACATAGGGACCATAGAGAGACCATAGAGACACATAGAGAGACCATAGAGACACCATATAGAGACCATAGAGACACATAGGGACACATAGGGACACATAGGGACATAGAGAGATACATAGGGACACATAGGGACCATAGAGAGACCATAGAGACACATAGAGAGACCATAGAGACACCATATAGAGACCATAGAGACACATAGGGACACATAGGGACACATAGGGACATAGAGAGATACATAGGGACACATAGGGACCATAGAGAGACCATAGAGACACATAGAGAGACCATAGAGACACCATATAGAGACCATAGAGACACATAGGGACACATAGGGACACATAGGGACATAGAGAGATACATAGGGACACATAGGGACCATAGAGACCCATGGAGACACATGGGGACCCATAGAGACACATAGAGACCATAGAGAACATAGAGACACATAGAGGGACATAGAGGGACACAGAGACCATAGAGATACATAGAGAGACCATAGAGAAACCATAGGGACCCATAGGGACACACAGGGACACATAGGGACCCATACGGACCCATAGAGACACATAGGGACCCACAGAGACCCATAGAGAGACATAGGGACCCATAGAGACCATAGGGACACATAGGGACCCACAGAGACCATAGAGACCCATAGGGACCATAGAGAGACCATAAGGAAACCATAGAGACCCCATAGAGAAACCATAGACACCCCATAGAGACCACAGAGACCCCATAGAGACCATAGAGACCCAGACAGACCCCACAGAAATCATAGAGACCCATAGAGACCATAGAGAAACCATAGAGACCCCATGGAGACCCACAGATCCCATAGAGCACATGGACCGACCCATTGAGACCCATAGAGAACATGGGCTGACCCATAGAGCAAAAGGACTGACCCATAGAGACCCATAGAGACCCCCATAGCACCCACAGAGCCCAGCATAGACACCCATGGAGACCCCATAGCACCCACAGCCCCCCCATAGAACCCGGGGGGGGGGGTTCAGGTTTCTGCTCCTTTGGGGCTGTTGTGGGCGTTTGGGGGCCATTTTGGGTGGTTTGGGGTCAGTTTTGGGCTGTTTCAGGTGTTCTGGGGACTATTTTAGGTGGTTTTGGGCCCTTTTCAGGTGTTTTGGGGTCAGTTTTGGGTGTTTTGGGGCCCATTTCAGGTGGGTTTGGGCCTGTTTCAGGTGTTTTGGGGCTGTTTCGGGTGGTTTGGGTCAGTTTCAGGTGGTTTTGGGTCCATGTCGGGTGTTTTTGGGTCAGTTTCGAGAGTTTTGGGCAGTTTCAGATGGTTTTGGGTCATTTTCAGGTGCTTTGGGCAGTTTCAGGTGGTTTTGGGTCATTTTCAGGTGTTTTGGGTCAGTCTCAGGTGTTTTGGGGCCCATTTTCGGGTGTTTTGCAGTCATTTTCGGGTGTTTTGGGGTCAGTTTTGGGTGTTTTGGGCACTCACATTGCTGTGCTGCAGGGCCTTGTAGGCGCTGTTGATGCCTGGGTTTGGGCCCATTTGGGGTGTTTTGGGGGCAGTTTCAGGTGTTTTGGGGCTGTTCCAGGTGTTTTTGGGTCCATTTTGGGTGTTTTGGGGTCCGTTTCAGGTGTTTTGGGGCAGTTTCAAGTGTTTTAGGGCCCATTCGGGATAATTTGGAGCTATTTCAGGTGGTTTTGGGTCTGTTTCCGGTGTTTTGGGCCAGTTTCAGGTGTTTTAGGGCCTGTTTGGGATGTTTTGGAGGTATTTCAGGTAGTTTTGGGCCCATTTCGGGTGTTTTGGGGCCCATTTGGTGTGTTTTGGGTCAGTTTAAGGTGTTTTTGGGTCAGTTTCGGGTGTTTTGGTGCAGTTTCAGGTGTTTTGGGGCCCGTTTGGGATGTTTTGGAGCTATTTCAGGTGGTTTTGGGTCTGTTTTGGGGCAGTTTCAGGTGTTTTAGGGCCTGTATGGGATGTTTTGAGTCAGTTTCAGGTGGTTTTGGGTCTGTTTCAGATGGCTTTGGGTCCGTTTCGGGTGGTTTTGGGTCCGTTTTGGGTGGTTTTGGGCACTTGCATTGCTGTAGATGTGCTGCAGGGCCTTGCAGGTGCTGTTTATGCCTGGTTTTGGGTCCGTTAGGGGTGTTTTGGGGTCAGTTTCAGGTGATTTTGGGTCCCTTTCAGCTGTTTTGGGGTCCGTTTTGGGTGTTTTTGGGTCCTTTTCAGGGGGTTTTGGGTCCGTTTCGGGTATTTTTGGGTCCATTTCGGGTGTTTTGGGTCAGTTTTGGGTGTTTTTGGGTCCGTTTGGGGTGGTTTTGGGCCCGTTTCAGGTGTTTTGGGGTCCGTTTGGGGTGGTTTTGGGTCCGTTTTGGGTGGTTTTGGGGTATTTTTTGGTCTGTTCGGGGGGCTTTTGGGTCCGTTTGGGGTGTTTTTCAGTCTGTTTGGGGTGTTTCAGGGTCAGTTTCGTGTGTTTTGGGTCCATTTGAGGTGGTTTTGGGGTGTTTTTAGGTCCATTTGGGGTGTTCTGGGGTCCATTTGGGTGGTTTTGGGTCCATTTGGGGTGGTTTTGGGTCCGTTTGGGTGTTTTGGGGTGTTTTGGGGTGATTTTGGGGTGTTTTTGGGTGTTTTGGTCACTCACGTTGCTGTAGATGTGCTGCAGGGCCTCGCGGGCGCTGTTTATGCCTGGTTTGGGGCCGTTTGGGGTGTTTTGGGGTCCGTTTGGGGTGTTTTGGGGTGTTTTTGGGTGTTTTGGGGTGATTTGGGGGTGTTTTTGGGTGGTTTTGGGGTGTTTTGAGGTGATTTTGGGGTGTTTTTGGGTCCATTTGGGGTGGTTTTGGGGTGGTTTTGGGTCCGTTTGGGGTGGTTTTGGGGTGTTTTTGGGTGATTTTGGGGTGTTTCTGTGTGTTCTGGTCACTCACGTTGCTGTAGATGTGCTGCAGGGCCTCGTGGGCGCTGTTTATGCCTGGTTTGGGGTGTTCTGGGGTCCGTTTGGGGTGTTTTCGGGGTGTTTTTGGGTCAGTTTCGGGTGTTTTTGGGTCAGTTTCAGGTGTTTTTGGGTCAGTTTCGGGTGGTTTTGGGTCCATTTTGGGTGTTTTTTGGTCCGTTTCAGGTGGTTTTGGGTGATTTTGGGGTGTTTTTGGGTGTTCTGGTCACTCACGTTGCTGTAGATGTGCTGCAGGGCCTCGCGGGCGCTGCTCACGCCCAGGTCCGTGTTGAGCACCAGGCGCAGCCCGCTCGGGGTCTCGTAGTAATGGAGCCGGTACCGGGAGGTGTGGAAGGACAGGAACCCGTCCCGCCTGCACGCTCAGGCACATAGCGACCCATAGAGACCCCATAGGGACCCACAGCGACCCATAGAGACCCATAGAGACCCATTGATACCCCATAGAGACCCATAGGGACCCCATAGAGACCCACAGAGACCCATAGAGACCCAGAGGGATCCCATACAGACCCCTTGATACCCCACAGAGACCCATAGGGACCCACAGAGACCCCATAGAGACCCATAGAGACCCAGAGGGATCCCATACAGACCCATTGATACCCCATAGAGACCCATAGGGACCCACAGAGACCCCATAGAGACCCATAGAGACCCCATAAAGACCCATAAAGACCCACAGAGACCCATAGAAACTCACAGGGACCCCATACAGACCCATAGATACCCCATAGAGACCCGTAGAGACCCCATAAGGACCCATAAACCCCATAGAGACCTCATAGAGAACCCATGGAGAACCCATAGAGACCCACAAAGACCCGCAGAGACCCATAAGGACTCCATAGAGAACCCATAGAGAACCCACAAAGACCCATAGGGACCCCATAGAGACCATAGGGACCCACAGCAACCCACAGAGACCATGGAGACCCCATAGAGCCCCATAGAAACCCCACAGACACCCATAGGGACCCCATACAGACCTATAAAGACCCATAGACAGACCCATAAAGACCCCATAAGGACCCATACACCCTATAGAGACCTATAGATACCTCATAGAGACCCCATAGAGCCCCACAGAGACCCATAGAGACCCCATACACACCATAGGGACCCACAGAGACCCCACAGGGACTCATAGGGACCGCATACAGACCCCATAGAATCCCACAGAGAACCCATACAGACCCCATAAGGACCCATACACCCTATGAAGACCCATACAGACCCCATACAGACCTATAGAGACCACATAGAGACCCCACAGACACCCATAGGGACCCCATAAAGACCTATAGAGACCCACAGAGAACCCATACAGACCCCATAAGGACCCATACACCCTATAGAGACCCATAGAGATCCACAGCAATCCCTTAGAGACCTCCCTTACCCCAGGTCTTATCCCCCATATCCCACCCCGGAGCTCCCCCATTGGGCTTTATGGGGTCTCCCCAGTACTTTGGGACCCCCAAGAGCTATGGGGCTGCCCCACATCCCCTATGGGGCACCCCATAAGGCGAGAGGATACATGTCCGTGGGGCTCATCTTGCTCACGAAGGATCGGAGGGAGAAAAGCATCCCGAACATGAGCTTGAATTCCTGGGATATAGATATAGGGTATGGATATATCTGGGATATAGATATAGGGCTATAGATATAGATATGGGGCATGGGATATGGGGTGTGGGATATGGGGTATGGGGTATATGGGGTATGGGAAATGGGGTATGGGGTGTGGGGTATGGGATATGGGGTATGGGGTGTGGGGTATGGGATATGGTGTATAGGATATGGGGTATGGAATATGGGGTATGGGATGTGGGGTATGGGGTATGGGATATGGGGTAAGGGGTATGGGATATGGGGTGTGGGGTATGGGATATGGGGTATAGGATATGGGGTATGGGGTATGGAATATGGGGTATGGGATGTATGGGATATGGGGTATGGGATATGGGGTAAGGGGTATGGGATATAGGGTATAGGATATGGGGTATGGGATATATGGGATATGGGATATATGGGATATGGGGTATGGGATATGGGGTGTGGCATATGGGGTATGGGATATGGGGTAAGGGGTATGGGATATAGGGTATAGGATATGGGGTATTGGGTATGGGATATATGGGATATGGGGTAAGGGGTATGGAATATAGGGTATAGGATATGAGGTATGGGGTATGGAGATAAGGGGTATGGGATATGGGGTATGGGGTAAAGGGTATGGGATATGGGGTATGGAATATGGGGTATGGGATATATGGGGCCATAATGAACCCCCATAGCCCATCTCTTACCCCCAATACCCCACTTTCACCCCCATAAGCCCCTTTAACCCCCTTCTCCCCCCCGCAGCCCCGCTCCAGCCCCACACATCCCCCCATAGCCCCCCCCCATTCCCCACCTCCTCCTTGGGGATCCCGGCCTGCCGCCGCCGGTGCCATTCACTGTAGTGCAGGCACGTCCCGCTCCGGTCGAAGATGTACAGGTTGTGAATGGTCATCTGGGGGGGCGAGACGGGAGGGGGACCCTATGGGACCCCATTGCTGCCCCATTGCTGCCCCATTGCCGCCCCATTGCTGCCCCATTGGCTCCCCGTTGCCTCACCTCAGGCCGCTGCCGCTTCCGCCCTCATCCAAGATGGCGGCAGCAGGAAGGAAGGGCGTGACCATGGCAACGGAAGGGGGCGTGGCCATGAGGGCGTAAGGGGCGTGGCCGTGGTTACGGAAACGAAGGGGGCGTGGCCTGTGGGAGGGGGCGGGGCCACAACCGTGATTGACGGGAGGGGCCGCGGCGCCGTTTTGGGGTGGAAAAGGGAGGTTTTGGGGTCCCGATGGCCCCCCCGTGTCCCATAGCCCTCCATAGAGCATCACGCCAGCACCCACAGACCCCCAGAGCACCCCATGTGCCCCCATGGTTGTGTCCTCCCGCACCCCCCATGTCCCCATAGCCCCCCATGTCCCCCAGAGCACCCCATAGCCCCCCATGTCCCCACTAGCACCCCCTAGCCCCCATAGCCCCCCATGTCCCCAGTAGCACCTCATAGCCCCCAATATCCCCCAATGTCACACATAGGTCCCCATGTCCCCCCCATAGCCCCACGTCCCCATAGCCCCCCATGTCACCAATAGCACCCCATAGCCCCCAATAACTCCCCATAGTGCCCTATGTCCCCCATACCCCCCATGTCTCCCCATAGCCCTCCATGCCCCCATCCCAATAGCACCCCATAGCCCATTCCCCATAGCGCCATGCCCCCATACCCCCCATGTCTCCCCATAGCCCTCCATAGCCCCCACAGCGCCAATAGCACCCCATAGCCCTTCATGCCCCCATAGCGCCAATAGCACCCCATAGCCCTCCCTATCCCCCATAGCGCCAATAGCACCCCATAGCCCTCCATGTCCCCCATAGCCCCCCATGGTGCCAATAGCACCCCATAGCCCTCCATGTCCCCATAGCCCCCATAGCGCCAATAGCACCCCATAGCCCTCCATGTCCCCCATAGCCCCCCATGGTGCCAATAGCCCCCAGTGCCCCCCATGTCCCCCATGTGCAGCTCAGCTCTAAGGTGTTTATTGATGCAGATAAATAGTGGACATTCGGCACCGCCACCGCTATGGGGCGCCCCACACCCCTGGGGGGACCCCTCGCCATGGGGCACCCGATGGGGGCGTCCCTCATTGAAGCCACCCCATTGGTTACATCTCCATTGAGGTCACCCCATTGGTGACATCCCATTGGTTACATCTCCACTGGTGCCACCCCATTGGTTACATCTCCATTGGTGATATCGCCATTGGGGACACCCCACTGGTGACATCTCCATTGAGGTCACCCCATTGGTGACATCCCATTGGTTACATCTCCATTGGTGACACCCCATTGGTTACATCACCATTGGGGACACCCCATTGGTTACAGCTCCATTGGTGACACCCCACTGGCTACATCTCCATTGAGGACACCCCATTGGTGCCACCCTATTGGACGTCCCCATTGAGGTCACCCCATTGGTGGCATCTCCACTGGTGACACCCTATTGGTTACATATCCGTTGAGGCCATCCCATTGGTGCCACCCCACTGGACATCCCCATTCAGGCCACCCCATTGGTGACATCCCATTGGTGACATCCCATTGGTGGCACCCCATTGGTTACATCTCCATTGGTGACACCCCACTGGTTACATCTCCATTGGTGACATCCCATTGGTTACATGCCCATTGGTGACACCCCATTGGTTACATCTTCATTGGCGACACCCCATTGGCTACATGCCCATTAGGGCTACCCCATTGGTTAGATCTCCATTGGTGATACCCCATTGATTATGTCTCCATTGGTGGCATCCCATTGGTTACATCTCCATTGGTGACACCCCATTGGTGAAATCTCCATTGGTGACATCTCCACTGGGGACACCCCATTGGTTACATCTCCATTGGGGACACCCCATTGGGGCCACCCCATTGGTGACATCTCCACTGGGGACACCCCATTGGTTACATCTCCATTGGTGCCACCCCATTGGTTACATCTCCACTGGTGCCACCCCACTGGTTACACCCCATTGGTTACATCTCCATTGGTGCCACCCCATTGGTTACATCTCCCTTGGTGCCACCCCATTGGTTACATCCCATTGATGACATCTCCACTGGGGACACCCCATTGGTTACGTCTCCATTGGTGCCACCCCATTGGTTACATCTCCATTGGTGCCACCCCATTGGTTACGTCTCCATTGGTGCCACCCTATGGGGTCACCCCCATTGAAGCCAGCCCACTGCTGCCACGCCGCAGCCCCCCCGCTCTAGCGCCCCCTGCTGGCCGGGCGGTCCCCCCGTTAATTTGCCTCTTTGTGTGGGTGGGGTTTCGCTGCTGGGGGCGGGGCCAAGGCGGATGAGGGGGGCGTGGTCAATGCAAAGGAGGCGGAGCCAGTGCTGAAGGAGGCGTGGCCAATAGGAAGGAGTGGAGCCAATGGTGAGAGGGGCGTGGCTAAAGGAGGGAGTGACTAAAGGGGAAGGAGGCGTGGCCATAGGGAAAGGGGGCGTGGCTAAAGGGGAAGGGGGCGGGGGCAGTCAGTAGCAAACGCGGCCATCAAAGTGCAAAGGGGGGGAGGTGCGAAGGGGGCGGGGCTTGGACAAGGACCCCCACCCCCCGTGCAAGCCCCATTCATTGCAATGGGGGGGAGGGGCACTGCATGGGGGAGGGGTTGGGGGGGGCTGGGGACCCCCCCATAGGAAGACAGGAGGCCTCGCACGCCCCTTGGGGGGTGGAATGTGGCTGCCATAAGGTGCTATAGGGGGGTTGTGGGGGCTAAAATGGGGGGGGGCAATAGTCGGGGGGGGTCCCTTATTCCCCCCCCATCTATGGGGCAGGACCCTTTGTTATGGGGTAAGAGCCCCCTCATCTCCTATGGGTCCTCCCCTAAAACCGTTTATGGGGCAGGACCCCCAACTCACCCCAAGGGGCCCCCCATCTCCTATGGGTCCCCCTCGTTCATTCTACGGGGCCCCCCCACGCCCCTCTATGGGGCAGGGCGCTCCCCTCCCCCCCTCTTTGTGTCCCCTTCCCCCCTCGCTGCAGAGAAAGTGAAAGTGTGTGTGGGGGGAGGGGGGGCCGAGGGAAGGGGGGGGTCGGGGTCCCCCCTCCCCGCCCCCCTCCTCAGCAGAGCCAATGGCTGATCCTGGACGGGGTAACCCCCGCCCGTGCCGGGGGGCGGTGACGTCACCGTGACGTCACCCGTCCCCTGGGTGTCCCCCATCCGCCTGTTGTCACCCGCTGCCTCCTCGCCACCCATCGCAACACCCGCCGCCAACACCTCCTTGTCCCCGTCCCCACCCGCTGTCCCCTCTATGGGGCTGTACCCACCACCACCATTGTCACCCTCTTCCGCCTGTAGCTCCGCCTGATGCCTCTTGAGGTGCCGGCTGAGCGCGGCCGCCGTCCTGCACACCTTCACGCAGCGGCTACAGGCGAACCGCAGCGACGGCCTCCGCCCCACGCGGGCAACACCCGCACCCCCCCCTTTATCCCCCCCCACCTCCGGGTGTCCCCGCTGGTGCCGCCGCAGCTTCCGCAGCGCCGGGAAGCTCTTCCCGCACACCCCGCACGGGTGTTGCCACCCCCGGCGCCACGGCGGTGCCTTCACCCCATCGCCCGCACCGGTTCCCCCCCCCGTCACCGTCACCGCCTTCCGCTTGGCTTTGGGGCTGTACCCCCACAGCCGCTCCTCGGCGTCACCGTCACCGCCGCCTGTCTCCGGGGGGTGCAGGTGGCTCTCGGCGATGCTCCGCTTGACAACGGCCTCCTGCCCGATGCGCACGGTGATCTGGCACAGCCCCCCCAGCGGCCCCGCGCACGCCGGCTTGGCCACGTACGTCATGGTCCGGCTGTCGCAAGGCGCCGGTTGCGGTGTCGGTGTCGCCGTCACCGTCACCGCCGCCGCCTGTTGCGCCTCGATGTACTCCTTGAGCACTTGCTTCTTAATGGGCGGCACTACCGGCGTTGTTGGGCCCGGATGGGGGTAGGCGCCGGTTGTAGTCGCGTTGTTGCGCACGATCACCGACGGCGTGCGCCCGTAGGCGATGACGGACGCCGGCGCCGGTTGCGGTGACGCCGCGGTGTTGGCGACAGTCGGCACGATGAACGCGTGACCCCCCCCTTCCTGGTTGTAGGTCTTGTATGGCCGCTTGTGCGCCCGCATGGGGAGCAGGCGGTAGAGCTTCAAGGCGTCCACCTTGGGCCTGTAGCCCCCGTTGGGGGTCTTCTCGGAGGAGATCAAGGCCGGGTTGATGCCGTGCGAGGTCTTCTGGTGGGTCTTGAGGTTGTAGTAGGTGACGAAGGTGTCCCAGCAGAAGACGCACTGGTAGCGGCGCTCGCCCGTGTGCCAGACCTCGTGCTTGGTGCGGTACTCGGCCAAGGCGAAGACCTTGTCGCAGTAGCGGCAGGGGTAGGTGCGGCGCCACGAGTGGACGTTGGCGTGGCGCTTGAGGCTCGACAGGGTCATGTAGGAGCGGTGGCAAGTGCCGCACACGTAGACCAAGTGGCCGTCGACCACCTTGACCACGGCGTCCTGCTCCGGGGCCAGCTCCAGGGCGCGGTGACGCAGTAAAAGGGCTTTCTTGCCTGGTTTCGGGGGGGTGATGGGGGTCCCCATGGGGTTACCGGGGGTGCTGGTGGTGGTTATGGTGGTGGGAGAGGGTGTTGTGGTTGGGGGGTTGTTGGGTGTTGGAGTGGGGTTGGGGGCGCTCGTGGTGGTGGTGTTGGACGCTATGGGGTCGGTGGTGTCCATGGGGGTGTTGGGCACCGGTGTCATGGTGCTACTGGGAAGGAGGGTGGTGGTGGCCATGGTGCTGTTGACCTTCATGGAGTTGGGGGTGGCCATGGTGCTATTGACCACCATAATGCCATTAGTGGTGGCCATGGTGCTATTGACCACCATGGTGCTGTTGGTGGTGCCCATGGTGCTATTGACCACCACGGTGCCATTGGTGGTGCCCATGGTGCTGTTGACCACCACGGTGCCATTGGTGGTGCCCATGGTGCTGTTGACCACCACAGTGCCATTGGTGGTGGCCATGGTGCTATTGACCACCACGGTGCCGTTGGTGGTGCCCATGGTGCTGTTGACCACCATGGTGCTGTTGGTGGTGCCCATGGTGC